CTGAGCCCACTCCATCGGGGGAGGGGCTGTCCGAGTAGTCTTCCTTAAGCGGTTCGGCTGCAATTGGAGCAGTTGGAGCTTTAGTCTCTTTGGAGACTTTGTAGATCTTGCGCATAGCCTTAGGGCTAAGGGATCCGGAGGAGATAGCCTCCTCAAACTGTGCTTGATCAAACTCTACCACGAGAGTTTCGACGGTTGTTCCAGTGAGATGAACATCGAATTGCGCCACCACTTCTTCGTCACAGAAGCTCTTCCCCAGCAGAGTCGCCATCTTTTGTTTGTGGAAAAATTTGCAGTAAAAGAAACGAAGAAAAATTGATTTATATTCCTTTAATCTCAGTTACAATTGGATTTTCTGATTACAAAAGAGAAGAGAATGATCTGGATTCTCTCCTTTGTTTAATTCTGGGTTCTTCACGGTGGCGATGAGATGCCTCCCTCGAATGCTCGCGTCGAGTTTGCTTCTCGTTGACGATCCGATGTCTTGTTTCACTGGAACGTGGTCTTCTCCTCACGATTTGACGTTGTGGAGAACTCTGAACGAGTTTAAATCTCTATGAAAGAGTTGACTTAACCTAAAGTAGGTTATAAGCCAAGGATGAAGAAGATCTTTTTGCCGATCTCCAAAGCTCCAACCGAAGGATGAAGGATCCTCTTTTCGCTGCCAAGAAGTTCCAACCGACCCACCCTGAACTGAATTGATTTTCAGTTATTTATAGGGGATTAAGGGGTGTAACCACCTCCTTAATTCGCTCCTAAGTGGGGCTAATGGGATGTAACCGCCCCTTAAATCACTCCTGAGTGGAGTTGTGATCCCCTCAGATCGTGGGAAACGGTTTTGGAACCGTTCAGCTCGTGTTTGAATGAGTCAAACGCAGGCCCGCGTTCTAGCATGAATTCTATGTCTGAACGCAATATTTGGAAGTGCGTTCTGTAGTGTTGTGAAGTTGCGTTGTGCAGCGATTTGGAGCTGCGTTCTGCGGCTGATTGGAGCTGCGTTTGAGCAACCGTTTGAACTGCGTCTGACAACGATTGGAGTTGTGTCTGGCAGCGGATTAGAGATGCGTTCTGCGGCTGATTGTTGAAGCTGCGTTCAGCGGCTGGTTGTTGAAGCTGCGTTCGGTGGCTGATTGGTGAAGCTGTGTTCAGCGGCTGATTGGAGCTGCGTTTGGCAGCGATTGGAGCTGCGTTTGCAATTTTTGGAGCTGCATTTGAGCTGCGTTCGTGGCTATGAATGCGGCTCATCTTGATGCTGGTACGCTGGAAGGACTTCCACAGTTTGATTTGAAGAGACCGTCGATTTGTAGTCTCTTTCTGTCGAAGCGTTGCAAAGATCGTCATTTTATAATCTTTGCTTTAGCTCTCTGATATATGAGAGTCGTCAGATTGTAACTCCCGATGTTGATTATGAAGGCTGTTTGATTAGAGCTTCCATCAGTTGTCGTGAAGGTCGTCAGATTGTAACCTTTAGCGATCTACGTGAAAGTCTTCAAATTGTAACCTTCTGGAAGTCGTCAGAGTGTAACTTCCATCATCGGTGTTTTGATGGGGATCAGCTATCTATTGTGATTTTTAGACAGCCTACAATGATCATCCTTCCGGACAAGAATATGTAGATGAGTATGAGAAGTACATGAAAGATGCCAAAAGACCAATTTATGAGAATGCAAAATATTCCACACTATCATGGTTCGTTCAACTTTTCCAGATTAAATGCCTAAATAAATGGAGCAACAAGTCATTTACGATGCTTCTAAAATTCCTGAAAGATTCTATGCCTCTGAGGAACAATGTGCCTCAGAGCTGGTATGAAGCTAAAAGGATAATGTCAGATCTGGGTTTGAATTGTGAGAAGATTCATGCATGTCCTAATGATTGTGTACTGTTCTGGAAAGAAAATTCTAAACTGAAAGAGTGCCCTAACTGTGGAGTTTCTAGATATAAGAAGAAAGCACATGCTAACAAGAATGACATACCAGTCAAGGTGGTACGATACTTTCCTGTGACACAGAGGCTGCAGAGGCTCTACAGGTGTAAGAAGACAGCGGTGGCAATGACTTGGCATGACCGTGCTATTCCAAGTGAACATGGTAAAATGAGTCATCCAAGAGATTCGCCAGCATGGAAGGATTTCGACAAGTTGCACACAATATTTAGTCAAGATCCCCGTAATATTAGGCTTGGATTAGCTAGCGATGGTTTTTGCCCCTTTAGTTTTAATGGCAATCCGCACAGTACATGGCCTATTATAATGATGATATATAATCTTTCACCGTGGTTAGCGATGGATCAATCATACTTTCTGATGCCTCTTCTTATTGATGGGCCGAGTTCACTGGGCAACAATATCGACGTCTACCTTCGACCTCTCATTGATGAGTTACTGTCTTTATTCGTTAATGGTGTAGAGACATATGATGCAGACAAAGGGGAAACATTCACAATGCGTGCAACCTTAATGTGGACAATTAATGACTTTCCTACATATGGAATGCTATCAGGTTATTCTGTACACGGTTATAAAGCATGTCCTTACTGCCATGCCAATACATCATCGACATGGTTGCCCTTTAGCAAAAAAATCTGTTATTGCGGTCATCAACGTATGTTGGAAGAAGATCATCCTTATAGGGATGATGCTGTTCATTTTGATGGTACTACAGAGCATAGAAAGGCTCCAGTCCCCCTATCCGGAAAGGACATACTTGCTCAGTGGAATGTTTACGGAAATATAACTTTCGGAAAAGTAAAGGAAAGACAGGAAAGACCACAAGGATGGAACAAAAAAAGTATTTTCTTTGAATTGCCCTATTAGGAGACAAATACCGTGCGTCACAATCTGGACGTGATGAATATTGAGAAGGGAGTATCTGAGCACATACTTAACTTGCTTCTTTGTAAAGATGGAAAATCAAAAGACAACCTCCAAGCTCGGAGAGATTTGCAGCACTTCAACATTAGAAAAGAATTGCATCCTGTACCTAAAGCTGGTAACCCGGGCAAATTTGTACTCCCCAATGCCTTTTATCATATGTCAAAATCAGAAAAAAAAGTTTTTAGAGGTATTACATGAGCTGAAGGTTCCCACAGGCTTTTCAGCATCATTTAATAAGAAGATAAAGACTGTGAAAGGCAAGATTGATGGGTTGAAGAGTCATGATCACCATGTTATTATGCAACACCTTCTCCCACTATCCCTAAGGACTTCTCTTCCAGAATCCGTTGGTTTAGTGATCAATGAACTTTGCACCTTCTTTAGAGAATTGTGTGCTAAAAATGTCGATGACAAGGAGCTAGAAAAGCTAGAGAAAGCGATACCTTTGATATTGTGCAAGCTTGAGAGGATTTTTCCACCGTCGTTCTTTGATATCATAATCCACTTGATTGTTCATCTTGCAAAAGAGGCTAGACTTGCAGGACCGGTACAATATAGGTGGATGTATCCTATAGAAAGGTAACTTTAAATTTCCATTTGATGCAATAGATATAATTTTTATCTTCTACATTATTGTGTTTAGTAATTTAATGTGAGTTTTTGTAGGTACCTATTGACTTTAAAAAATTATATACGAAATAGAAATCGGCCAGAGGGTTATATTATGGAAGGTTATCTCTTGGAGGAAGTAACAACATTTTGTTCCCGTTATTTGGACAAAAATATAGAGACAAAGCTCATTAGACCTGTGAGTATTCATGACGGAACATATGGCAAACCAACTTACACGACAATGGGACTCACATTTATTAATGATATACATCGATTTATCATCCTCAATAGCATATGCCTCGAGGAAGTTAGAGAGTAAGTATGTTTTATATTAATTGTTATATGTACATGTATATATAAAATAATATGATGTTAATGTTATAACAATTCATGTTGAGAACGGAATTCACAAGGATGAATTACGTGAAGAGCATCCTAATTGGAATGTTGAACGATTGGAAAAACATCATCATGATAATTTTTGTAGCTGGTTTATAAATTATGTAAGATTTTCTTTGTCAATATTTATGTGTCATTATCTTAATCTAAATTTGTATCTTTATATAATTATCACACAAACTGTTTTGTCAGGTCCAAGATCCAAATGTAGAATTAACATTGGATAAGGATTTGAGATGTCTATCTGAATATCCGAGCCGAGAGGTTGCATACTACAATGGATTTGGTGTAAGCGGGTACAAGTTTGAAATCAAGAAGAGAGAAGAATCTCGGACCACCCAGAATAGTGGAATTGCGGCTATTGGCACTGAAGGAATAATTTACTATGGGTATTTAGATAGAATACTCGGTATTCGCTATCCCGGAAGAGCAAAATTAATTTATTTATTCAAGTGTGTTTGGTATCATACAAGAACTGGACATGGAAAGTGGAGAGAAACATATGAGACTTGGAAAGATGAATATGGATTGACTAGTGTAAACACTAATCTTTTTGAGTTTGAAGATGAACCGTATATATTCCCGGAACAAGCATTTCAAGTATACTACTCAAAGTGTTTGAAACATCCTGGATGGAGTGTTGTTTGCCGATGGAAGCCTAGGAATACTTACGATGTCCCACAATTTGTGGATGTTGACATAGAGGACAATGCTGAGACAGATTCTGATGATGAAGGACTTAGATTGTTACAAGCTTCTATTTCTATAGATCCAAATGAATCTCAGGTTGAGCATGAAGTTTCATGGGTTCGGAATGATTTTGAACATGAAATCATTGTAGACATTCCTACAACGTCTAAGGAGTCTGTAAAAAGAAAAAGGTAGTAATCACAAAATTCATACACACAAACGTTCACTTTGTTACATGTTCACTATATACATGCATATACATGTTCACTATATACACAATGCTTGGTTGGGTGGGCAATCACAATAAACCTGATTATATGCATTTTTTATATGTACATGTTCACTATATACATGTATTGCATGCATCTCATATATATATATATATATATATATATATATATATATATATGCATCTATCCCTAGCTTTCCAGCATCTACCCCTAGTATTATAGCATCTACATCCATGGCCGATGATCATTTACAGACCCCCCTTACAGGTTTGTAAATTTTGATTTTGATTTTATTTTGCACTATAATTGATTTCTTGATATGATTACACATTTATCAGATGTGGGCGAGACTGATTTGCAGACCATCCCTACGCACTCTATACCATCTGGACACTCGACGGGTTAGTATCATTTAATGTATTGATATTATATTGCATATTATTTTATTAAACAATACTTACATAATATTATTTTATTGTCTAGTTGGGGGGGATGCCTCTGCATCCACATCAATAGCTCGTCCTCTACACATGAGAAATTATCGTCCTAACCGTGCTGCTAAACGGGCGGAGAAGCGTGCTGAGAATGCCGGAGGTATGTAATCCCAATCAGAGAATATGTTTAATGACTCGAATATGTTTAATATACTCCTTCTCAGTATAAAACCTGAGATTTTTGGTCCTTGAACAGATTTATGACTCGAATATGTTTAATATATTCTGCATGACTTCTGTGCAATTGTAGCCTATACTTTTAGGCTTAACATTTGACCTCAAAAAGAATCCATCTGTTGTATTACAATAGTGCAATCAACTGTCGATTTCAAAACAGATTGTTTCGTCGAATCATGGATTGTAAATCTGATCAAGTACATGAAAGAGAACTTGCCAACAACCATGATATTAGCTAAACTTTATTACACTCCAACATGTTTATCATTGCAAAATTGTATTGCTATATCAGGTACATAGCTAAGAGCATTATATAAATAATGAAAGTTGAAGTTCTCATCCATAAATATAACTCGTGTTAAACTCAACAAGAATAAGAACTTTCACATTACTGACCTGGAACATAAGGGTAATGATTTAGCAGCATATTAACTAAAAACATTACATGTCAGAGAAAAAAAACATTGTGCCACGCATGAAGCTCTAATAAGTGAGTTCTTTTGATGAGAAGGTATGGAGAGAAATCATAATGCAGTGTGCACAGGGCAATCCAGTAATAATTAAAGAGATTAGCAAGGACTAGCAAACACCAAAATGATTCATGAATAATGGACACACCATGGTACAAGTGCTAAAAATCAAGGACCTAATCTTAAGGGATAGCAATTATATCTTGGTCAACATTATGACAAGAAAACTATCCTCAGAAACTTGATTATCACTTAGTGTTGTATCATCTTTCAAAACCTTCCCTTGATGTATAAGCAGCTGCTGTTTAGCTGGATAGACATTTTCCCCTTGGACAGACTCTATATTCTTTTTCACATTAGCAATCTGCACAAAATTAGAAAATTGGTACAAATTGGTATGATTTAAATAGAACAGAAACAATAGACCGTTAACAGAAAATTAACTAAAAAGTAGCACCTATAACAATGACTAAAAATCCTTTGTATAGATTATTTCGGTCAAATAAACTCGAGGATTCCAAAGTCTGGCACAATTTAAACACCTAAAGAGTAAAAAAATAAACTAACTTTTACCATGCAGCTAACTTGGCCCAAAGTTGACTGATTTTGTAAATAAAAAAGTTGATTTTCATTGACATTTTTAAACTACACTTTAGTAAATTGTCAAGTAGAGAAACAAAGGCATGTTGAGAAAGTTCCATATGTGCAGGATGATTCAAGTCTAGGATGTGGTTTTAAGCCTCTACATATGAAAAAAAAAACCACGAGATCACAATTTTCTGGTCACCATCAAAAATAAATAAATAAATGTCCGCTTGTATAGTTAACCAGCATATTCAGGTGAAAACAATCATCTGTAAGAAGGTAGATATATGCCATCGATAGTTTTCCATTCTCATGTACATCTTGATTTCCAGGCGAGTGAACAATACCATAACTTTCTTCTATATTTAGACTTCTACAATATTGGTCACAAATTAAAATTAGCATAAGGATAAAAGCACAAACAAAGGATATAGATACTATGCCACTCATATTTGTTTCCTTTACAATTAAAGATATTTTATAAATATAGAGTTCATAATCTGATTTTATTTAATGCATTTTTTTAGATACAGTTTCAAACTACTCTTGAAGGACTATGGATATTCGATTACTACCTCCATCCTCCTTATTTGATGTAGGTTTGCCACGGACGTCCAAGAAGGTTCGATCTTCAAATAAAGCCAATCGATTAATGCCCGATCCTGAGAAGAATGAACCAGCATTCCCCTTGCACTTTGATGAGTACTTCCGTGTTACGGGCCCTAATGCTGAGAGATTTGGACAGTATGTGGGGCAAAAGAGCCGCCAATACATGGACTTCCCACTTTATAAGAACTGGGGCCCGGATCATGAGCGTTCGTTAGATAAGTTCTTTCTCCAAGCCAAGGTTTGAATACAATTTTAATCTATTTCTGTCATTGCAAAACTAGCTAGCAAGATCTTATTCAATATTCACGTAAAGTGTTTAATGTATTTTTTTTGTTAAATATGCAGAAAGATTATGAGTTTTTGCCTATAGATCCTTATTGTCCTCTTAATATTCCTGCTATACATCGAGGCGTGAAGATAAAGATGCAGGAGAGAGTCCGAGGCAATCGGAATCAGGTAAAGAAGGAGTGTTATGAACTGTGGCTGGAGACTCCCCAAGAGAAAAGAGATGATCTTTTCAAGACAGAGGTGTTCGAAGGGATCGATAAAAGATGGTGGGACGACCTCTGCAAGTTATTTTCTTCTAATAGGAAGCAGGTATATGGTTAACAAATAATTCAATGATTGGCATGTGCTTATTTTTGGATCACAATCTAAATCTTACATTTTTGTGCAGGCGGAGGCAAAAAGAAATAAAGATAATCGGGAGTCAAAGAAGCGAGGTCGAGCAACCTATACGGGTGGCTCGAGGAGTATGGTTCGGGCAAAAGAGAGAGTGGTAAAATTAATCTTAAGAGTTTTAAAAATGCATTTATTAATTTATGATATGATATCTTATACAAATTTATGTTTTGGTGAATTACAGAGAGCTCGGATCGAAGAATCGGGTGGCAGTTCAAGTGCATTAAAGGAGTATTTAGGTACCCATGCGACTTTAGTCGATCCAGGAGCTGATACATATTCATGTACATATCCCGACACCCAAACTCAAGAGTATTGTGTAAGTGTTATGCTTTTGACTAATTGAAATTTCTTTCTTGAATATGCTTATAATAATATTGTTGACTTAATATTTGAATACTTTATGTGGCGTAGGCTCGGGTGATCGAAAAGGCCAAATCATTAGGGGTCGATCGAGAACCCAAATCTACTGCAATGACCACAGTCTTAGATGATGTACATGGAGGGCATCATGGTGGTTATGAGAGAGGTTTGGGTCACGGTGTCACTAGATTTTATTTGAAGACTTCCTCCACTCCGACCTTCGCTACTCCTCCTGATGTGCTTCTTGAGATGGCGGAGCTTAAGGCCAAGATGGAACGACTAACTCAGCTTGTACGTATATATGGTTACTTTAATATAAACTTATTTTCAATTCAGTTGGTTAATTAAATTAAAAGGAATAAATTTTGACGAGAGTACATGATAATAACAATGTATTTAATTTAGGAAGCTGATTTCAGAAGTTTATTTCTCACATTGCAAGATAGTTTATCATATATAAAACTCACAATTATCTTCAAAAGGGAAGTGAAACTGATCCTAAAAGTATAATGTAATATATCTGACTTTTATATCCATAACTATGATTCAATCCGTGTAAATTAATAAGTCCTGAGTTTAGCGAAAACTTAGCATCACGTGGGCCTTAAAAGTACTAGATCCCAACATATGTGGATAACAAATTTGTGGATAGAAATCCGCAATGGGCTATGCAAATCTGTACCATGTTTTCATATGTGGATAACAAATTTGTGTGAGATTCATTTGAACGTGCCCTCTAAATATCATTACTTATACTTTACAGGTTGATTATCGTACCGCTCATCCACCTTCTGCTCAGCCTTCTCCTGGTGCTCAGGGTTCGGCTGGTGCTCAGGGTTCGGCTTCTGCTCAGCCTTCTCCAGATGCTCATGGTTCTACTTCTGCTGCTCAGTATTCTCCTCAGGATATTTCAACACAAAATCATATTACAAGTCGACTGGGGGGCTTGATAAGGGGCTTAACGCAGGAGGGTTACGGCGAGGACGACGTCCGCAAGGCTTTTGTTGATTTTCTTCAATTTAGTCAGTAGTGACTTGCACTTTTTAGATATTTGAGACATTGTATTTTGGATATTCTTTATGTTTGTGATTTAATTAGTTTAAAAAGTACTACTCACTTTTCATTTTAGTAAATTTTTTGTTTTGTCTTATAATTGCGTATGGTAGTGTTAGGATCTTGAATTCATTTTATGACATTTATGTTTTTGGTTGTATAATTGCATGGGAATATTGCTATAAACAGGTTGATTAATATTGCTATGAACAGGTTGATAATGTGCACAAATAGTGCATGTTTTTGTACAGGTGTAAACAACTTGCACCAACGGTTAAAACCATTGGTGCAAACACTTGCACCAACGGTTCCAACCGTTGGTGCATTTAAATTAGTAAAATAAAAAAACCATGCTTGGTGCAACATTCTGCACCAACGGTTGGAACCGTTGGTGCAAGTTGTGTGCACCAACGGTTTCAACCGTTGGTGCAGAATGTTGCACCAAGCATGGTTTTTTTATTTTACTAATTTAAATTTAAAAAATATCAGCACCAACGGTTTGAACCATTGGTGCTGATAAAACAACCGTTGGGACAAACTTTGCCCCAACGCAAATTGTCCCAACGGGTTATTTTCTTGCCCCAACGGTTCAAACCGTTGGGGTCACTATTTGCCCCAACGGTTTCAACCGTTGGGGCTGACCTCTTTTGTACTAGTGCCCATATGATACTAATATTAGTTGTGCATATAATTATCTCCACCTTATCAATTAATTAATTAGTTCAGGGGATAATCTACTGAAAACTAGTAGAACAGGAAGACTACATATGTAATAACCCCAAGTAAATAGTTAATTAAAAAAAAGAATGGAGAAGTACATGTAAATCACAAAGTTTGAGGGGTGCTATGCAAAAATACCAATTCTCTTCCTGTTCATCACTGCCTCACCGATTTGGTGGCTTGCACCGCCTCAACGGTAAGATTAGAAGGGGAGAAAGGAGAAAATAAGAGGGGGGAAAAAATCAAGTGAAGAGTGTTAGGGTACACACCAACAATACCACCTCGAATGAAGACGTAATACACAGAATAAATGCATAAAAATTAATCACAATACTCACAGATATACGTGGTTCACTCCTTCGGAGCTACTCCACGGTGTAACGATGACGCAAAATTCTTTTATATCCCAAAAGAATAGATCAAAGAGAACATCCTCCCTTGATCAGATACACTCCAAAAACTCTCACAATCTCTCTCGGTGTTTTCTCTCTTACTCTTCTATGAGAGGAGTTGTTTCTAGGATGAATTTTTCTAAAAAATTTAGGCCTTATTTATAGTGTTTGGGAAACACTATGCATATATAAAATATTATCAGTGGGACCCACCACTAATAATAAAATATTTGTGGGACCCATATCCTTTATAAATTATCAACAATGACTGCCACCAAATTTGAGTTTTCTTCTTGTGGGGCTCGCCTTTATAGGCCCCATTTTTATTTTGTTAGGTTGACAATCTCCCACTTAAAAATTTGATTGAATATTAATCATATCTTCACACCCTTCTTGGTTACATCATCCGGATGTCTTGTATCTTTGGCGTCTTGCATGACCCTTAACATTCTCAACGGAGGCCATATAAGGTTGCACACAGCCCCACCTTCTCGAGCGAAACTGGCTTGGTCAGCATATCGGCTGGATTGTACCTCGTATCAATCTTCACAAGCTTGAACTCGTTCCTGCTTTGTCATCTCTGTATGGCATGATGTTTCACGTCAACATGCTTGGTCCAAACATAAAATGCGTTATTTTCTGACAAGTGAATGGTATTCTGACTGTCGCAGTGGATAAAGTATTTCTTAAAGTTTACTCCAAGCTCGAGAAGAAAAGCCTTCAACCATAGCAACTCCTTTGCTGCCTCTGCTGTAGACATGGACTCCTCTTTAGTTGTCGACAAAGGCACAGTATCCTGTAACTTGGATCTCCAACTTATCGCTCCACCACCCAAGATGAAGATGTAGCCGCTAGTGCTCCTTCTTGAGTCTATATCCCAAGCGTAGTCTGCATCACAAAATCCCTCTAGCTGCAAATCCGTCCCGCCATACTTAAGACAACGATCAGACGAGCATCTCAAGTAGCATAGAAGACACCTGACTGCACCCCAGTGTTGTTTCCCTGGATTGCTCATGAAGCGGTTCACAACTCACACTCCTTGTGCAATATCTGGTCTCGTGCACACCATCGCATACATCAAACTCCCGATGGCAGATGCGTATAGTATGTTGGCCATAAACTTATGCTCTTCAGCAGTCTCTGGTGTTTGGGTCTTCGATAGCTTGAAATGGATTGCAAATGGCAAGCCCACTGGTTTAGCTTTCTCGATGCCAAACTTTTCAAGAATCTTCTCAATGTAGGCCTTCTGAGACAACATCAGCCTCCGTGCTGAACTTTCTCGGATGATCCTCATCCCAAGAATCTGGTTTGCTAGACCCAGATCCTTCATCTTGAAGCACTCGGAGAGACGCCCTTTGAGTTTCTCAATGCGGGCCAAGTTGGGCCCTACAATCAACATGTCATCAACATAAATCAAGAGTATCTCATAGGATTCGCCATATCTCTTGATGAAGCAGTAATGGTCTGTGTCGCATTTGAGAAAACTGTTCTCCTCCATAAAGTTCTCAAACGTCATGTAACTATAGCGGAGCTTGCTTCATGCTATGCAAGCTCTTGCGCATGCGACACACGAGGCCCTCCCTGCCCCGTTCCTCGAAGCCCACTGATTGATGCATATAGATCTCTTTCTCCAAATCTCCATAAAGGAATGTCGTTTTCATATCCATCTACTCTAGATGAAGTTCTTGAATTGCCACAATGCTTAGCACAGTCCAGATCGTGGTCAACTTGACGACGGGAGCGAAAATGTTAGAATAGTCTATCCATGCTTTCTACTCATAGCCCTTCACTGCAAGCCTCGCCTTGTAGTGTCTCCGTCCATCGGCTTCATCCTTGACCCGATAAATTCACCGATTATGAAGAGCCTTTCTTCCTCTTGGAAGCTTTATGAGCTCCCAAGTCCTATTCTTCATCAAGGACTTTATTTTTTCCTCCATAGCAGACTCCCACTCGTTCCGAGCTTTGTTGGTCTATTGTACCTCCTCATAGCTCTGTGGCTCACCATTGTCAATCAGAAGAAGATAATTTATGGTGGAAAGGTACCTCTCTAGCACCCTCGAATTTTTTTGGAGCTTTGCGAATTACGATCGGCAACTCTGATGGATCCTACTGTTGTGCATCCGGCACGTCTTCCTTGTCTCCATCTTCTATACTGACTGGTACCTCACTGATGTCCTCACTGTCAGGATTATCTAGGAAAAGAAGGGGAGATAGCTGACTCCCACTCACTTTTTTGGTCTTGTACACTGCATTCTTATAGAATACGACGTCACGACTACGCGCCACCTTACGCGTATCGTGATCCCAGAAATGGTACACATACTCATCTCCTCTATAGCTGATGAAAGAGAGTTTCTTTGACTTTAGATCAAGCTTTGACCGGTCTACAGGATTGGTCATGACATAGGCGTCACAACCAAATACCCGTAAGTACTCTAGCTTTAGCTTCTTTCTTTCCAGTCCAAGCCTCCTCAGGTATCCCATAACTGAGAGCTACGGATGGCCCGTGGTTGATCAAGTATGCAACAGTATTGATAGCTTCAGCCTAAAAACTTTTGGACAATCCGGAGTGGATCCTCATACTTCTGGCGCGCTCCAAGATAGTGGGATTCATACGCTCCATCACTCCGTTGTGTTGAGGTGTGCCTGAGACGGTCTTCAGTCTCCTAATGCCATGTGACAAGCAGAAATTCTCGAACTCTATACTCGCCTCCATTATCAGACTTTAGGCACTTTAGCTTATTACGTGTTTCGTTCTCCACACAGACAAGCCACTTCTTAAAGATGATTAAAACATCTGACTTGTGCTTTAAGAAGAACACCCATAATTTTCTAGTAGAATCATCAATAAAAGTGACAAAATAAAGAGAATTTCCAATAGATGAGACTTGTGTAGGTCCCCACATGTTGGTGTACACCAACTCTAATTTCTGCAGTTTTAGAGCCGGTCTGGTCTTGTTGAAGCTCACCTTCTTTTACTTACCTAGGATGCAGTCCTCACAGAAAGTCAGATTGATCTTGTTCAGACCCGAAATCCTCTCTCCCGCGGCCATAATCTGCATCCCCTTCTCGCTCATGTGGCCAAGTCATCAATGCCAAGTAATGCAGTCGACGGATAATGATGATGATGCTTGTCCCATGGCAAGAAAGCGGTCGATCTTCCCATTGGCGATGTAGAGAGACCCCTCACGTTTGCCTTGTGTCTCCACCATGGCACCCTTGGACACCTTCCAGCTTCCCTGCTGGAAGGACACTTTGTAACCAGAATCAGTTAGTTGCCTAACTGATATAAGATTCTACCCGAGATCTGGTACATGCCGAACATCTTACAGCGTCAAGATGGTCCCGCCCTTCATATTGAGGGTACAATTTTTCTTCCCGAAAACTTTGCAGGGTTGATCGTCGTCAAGATAGACTGTCCTCAAGTCCTTCTTTATGAACGATGAAAGTAGCTTTTGTTGTAAGGTTGCATGGAAAGATGCGCCAGAGTTGATGACCCACGCATCGCTTTTGTCTTCAAGAGACAGGAGAAGCACATCTGAATCCGTCTCGTGCATGAGATTGACTGCACCGTCAGCCCGATCATCCCCTGCTAATGCTGGAATAGAAACTCTGCAGTCTCGTGTAAAGTAACCCTTCTTTCCATATCTGAAGCACTTTCCTTCACCGTAACCATTCGGGTTCGGCCCTTTAGACTTCCCTCTGGATATTGATTGGCCTCGTCATTCCCCACCCTTCTTCTGCGCATGCCCTCATGCCTCGACATGCAGAACACTCCCACTGCTAGAGGCCTCAGCTCCTAAGACTTTGCAGCGATATTCTTCATCCAGAATTGCCGCAATCACTGTGTCAAGCTTCATCTTAT